AAGACCTCTGGGTGATTCTGGTGGCCGCTGAAGTTAGAGAAGCCATGGTCTAGAGATGAGAGACATGGAGTACAGGCTCAAGCAAACCTTGTGCTGTATCATAGTTTCCTAACCTGGAATCCTCAAACAATAGCAGTACCTCTTTCAGAATTGATGTGAGAATTAAATTAATATATGGCACCTCTATAAGGTCTGGCATGGTATCAACAATAAATCAAATATAACTATTTATTCTGCGATGGATACTAACATGTAGTGAGCAGGAACTTACCTTATGCTGCATCAAAGTTCATCATGAGTAGAGATCTCTTTGTGAGTTGAATTTGACGACCAAGGGGCACAGTGGCTAGATAGAAACTCAGCTATAGAGACAGATAGATCTGACTTGCCAACAAGGTCCTCCATGGATTAACTCTATGAACATGTGTGAATTATCTCATCTCTCTAAGCTTCGTTTCCTCATTTAGAAAATTGAGAAAATACTTTCTTCACAAGGTAAAAAGAAGGATTAAATACCATATTGTATGTTGCTTTGGAAAGTTCCTGTTCCCTTTTAAGTATCCCCTACCCAAATGAAAGCTGTCAGTGATATAATGATAACGTGTGGCTCTCATCACCTTAACTAAGGGCTTCTTGTTCAACAGAATATTAGAGTGATAGCATCTAAGGCCCTTTTATCGCCCTGAAAAGTTGTCTTGTCAAGATAAACTTAAATGTTGATTTAGACGCAATTTAACGAGAATTTACTCGCCTTTCCTATGTTGTCCTTAGAGGTCAAGCAAGTCTTTCTTCCTACTTGAATCTTGTTAGATTTGGGTTTCTTTTTCTATTCTATGTTTAGTCATAGACCGACATTCAGAGTTTACATTAGGATATTTCAAGACTTTCCATATTTCCTTTAAATACTGTATCTTTTAGGTCAGGCATATAATCCTAAGACACAAAAACATGTAGTAAGAGTGTCCCTGTGGTCAGGCTTTCACTAGATTTTGCCTCAGTAACAATCACTTCCAAGAATCCAGTGGCTTAAGCAACCAGAGTTTTTTGTCACTTGTGTTGCAAGTCAGCTTTGGCTTAGCTGTAGCTGGGCTGCAGATGCCCCCCTCTCCCCATTCCCTAGAAGGAGGAACAGCCCATCTGAGACCCACCTGAGACCCTGCCATGAGTCTGATGCCTCTGTTCAGGCGTGGTGTGAGTCACTGCAGCTCACACCCCATTGGCCAACACAGTCATGTGACTACATCTGACACAAAAGGATGAAAACAGATTCTCCACCCCCATCCCCAGGGACAGGCCCAAGGAAGGATTCCTTATAGACGGACCCAGCAGAGAAGAGCAGCAAATAACTGGAAGCCACAATCAGCTATAACAACCAAAAATGACCTAGCTTTGTCAGTTAGGATCCAACTTCTTATCCTCAAAACACAGAGCAAGATAGAGGAAACTCAGTTGCAAATTTCCCATCATCTCCACTGGTGCTTCCCCTTCAGATCATTAGGATTCTTATGGACAAGAAGGACCAATTCGACAGCTTCCCAGAAGCTGTCATTCTTCCCAGCCATCCTCAGTCCTCAATGGCCTGATGGGAAAAATGGGTTTGCAGAAGGAAAAAGTCATTTCCCTGACAGATAAGAACCATAGAGGCACCCTTTGGAATCTGCTGAGAGTCAGCTTTGTCCACCTTCTTTTTCGGTAGACATGCCCATTTCTGAGGTCACCTTGACAAAATCAACCATGTCCTCAGCCGACATGGATGGAATTGACGACTTCATAAAGAACAGTCAGACCAGCCACTGAAGCGAGTCATAGACTACTTTGAAGAGCAGGGAAGAGTATGGCATGAGGCCAGAGCCAAAGGTCCCAGCACATGTGTTTGTGTGGCCACAGACACAGGATCCAAAGAAAGGACAGCCAAGCCTCACTGATTTTATTTTCAATTATTTTTAAACCTTTTGAGTTCAGTGAACCCCAAGTACATTCTTGTCGAGCATTTCTTTTTCTACTTACTAGTTAAACCCATGGTTCCTTAATGTGAAATTTAATCCAGGTATTTTGGATTCATAGCTAAGAGATCATGCAAAAACTGTTTTGTTAGAAATACTTGATGTCCAAGGAAGCTTTTTAAGCAACTTTTCCTACAAACAGGAAACTGTTTTGATAGAGCTTTAAAGTCAGATACCCTCAAATTGCAATTTTCATCTGGAAATCCAAAGTTATAGTTTGATTTGGATTTCATTATTTCATGCCTCCCCACCCCCTTTGAAGGTACGTGGAATAACTTCACTTGAGCTTTGGCTGAGGAACTCTGCTGCCTCCTATTTTGTTATTAGCTATTTTTCTGTAGATGAAAGTTAGTTATTTTTCTGCCCACCAGGGAACACAGAATGAAGTTTTTATCATGATGGGCAAATTGGAAAACTCCCAAAATTTGACTCAACAGAGCACTAAGGTTTTAGAAGGAATCTGTTGTACTAACTAGGAGGGGGAAAAAATCATTCTTTAATGCTTTAAAAAATCAGTACTTATCATTGGCCCACTAGGTAGTTGGCATTCATCTATGAGGATGGTGGAGATAGGACATTTCTGAAAACGAACAACCAGACGTTTTCAGTACCTGTGTGCAACAGTGTTATTTTAGAATGTTCAGGGAAAATGAGGGGATAAGGGTCTTCATCAAGAAGGGAAAAGCTATTGATATCATTTGAACTGTATATCATAGTGTGGTAGCTAGATGACATAGTGTGGTAGTTAGATCTGTGAGCTGTTAGATGTGCAAATTCTTGGGCTCCGTCCCAAACCTACTGATATCAGAAACTCTGACCTTTCCAGGTGATTCTGATGCAGCTAAAACTCGAGCACCTTTGTCAAGGGGGCAGAGAGGGTAGGCATGGGAGCTTCACAGGGGCACTGTGCAGCTGTTGGGAACTTGGGTGAGTTGCTTAACCTCTTTGTGCCTGTTTCCTCCTCATGGGGATAATGATGGCACTTCCTTCATGGAGTTGGTATGAGGGTTAATTAAGTTCATGTATGGAAGGTATGAGAACAATGATTACAGTGCTGTAGTGTTAACTATTTAGGATGATGATGATGATGATTATAACTTATCTGAATCTTTATTATTGTCGTTGTTATTATTTATCTGCATCTTTCCCACATTGGACAACTTCTGACTCTATTCTGACTCTATTCATGCTTATTATTTGCATGCATATTTCTTCTAATTGGTCAGTGGCTTTCTGGTCATTTATAGATTGATTTCTCTGGTCATTTATAGATAGGACAGGGTGTTCCGGCTCAGTGCAGCTGATTTCTTTGATCATCCATTCTCCTAAAACCCTCTTTCTTTGACAGAATTTTGTCCTCTCTGAGGAAATGATGGGAACTCCCTTTCATTTTTCCATTCTCATTGTTTTGTCCCCAAGACTGGATGTGTAGTTCTTCATATAGCTAAATACCTTTTTCAGTGTGCTTACTCTTTAGTTCTGCTTCAAAAATATGTTTTTCTTTCTTTTATATTCAGAAAACAAATGCTCCACAGCATACGCAAAATGACTTCATTCCATGTGTGTGTTATTGGCTTGAAGTAGGAGAGGAATGTTGACCTCTCCATTCAGTAGTTTCAAGGACTTCACCTCAATAAAGATATCACCGTTCTAAGATTACAATCCCAACCCACGGGCTGGAATAAAACCAGAGAAATGAATACAATTTCCAGAGACTAAAGAAAACGATAATGGTTTGTAGGGAATATTGCTTATTCGTGGGATTAGGAGAGGGGAATTTAGAGAATATCTTTCAATCCTGTTTCCCAACTTAGCTTTTGGAAGCTGCTCTTATTTCTTAACATTTTAGAAGTGAAGCCAGGTAGATTGCAGAATCACTAAAGAAAAAAAATCTAAGGTAGTGACATAAAATTATATGAAATGAGTGTGTATAAACAATGAAGTAGACTTCACGAAGAAAGTCTGCTGCAGAATACAATACCGTATATTCAGAGCATATGATGAAGGGTAATGATAAAGCATACAGGTAAGATTGATGGGTACAAAGAAGGAGATGCTGGATCTTCACAGATGATGATTACAGTGATAATAAATGCAGATGCAAATGGATAAGAGATCGTTTGCCAAACACTGCAAACACACTGGGGGAATCAAGTGTGCGAGAGGCTATCCAGGTTGATAACGGGGATTATTGGCATGATCAGAGAGTACTTATTGTAACTATTTACAGTAACTGGTGGATCAGAAAGGAAGTGTGAAGGGTATGTATACACCTGGGTGTAAGACAGACAAAAATGTGGAGAGATCTACAGATACATATCTTAGGAAGAAGAACTCCAGAAAAGTAGGAGGCGAAAGGGCCTTTTGAATTTAGAACAGATTATGTTAAGCTTTGGAGGCTAAAGAGGCATTTGTGGTGTACTGACAAGAACTCCAGTCTAGCTTTTAAAGACTTTGGACATTTTTCTTTCTGCCGTGAACCATCTTTGTGATGCAGACCAGTCAACCTCCAGATCTATCTGTTTGTTTGAAAAATGTGTGTCAGATGCCTCGGCTTTGACAATATTTTCAGCTCTGATGTTCTGTGACTCAACAGTAATAATGCATTTCCACAGGCGGTAAAAATATTCTAGACTCTTCCCTTCCAATGCTCACTGTTTACTTCCTCTGCACTTCCCCTTCCTGCCTCCCTGTTTGCTGGTCAGTTGATAGTGGGCCTCAGGGGGGGTGAGTTAACCCACTCTTTCCAGGGTGTTTTAGTATTGAGCTCCCTCCAGAGGGTGGGAATTCTATAGGGAGGACAGTCGTTGGGGCTTCAATTTAATTCTTAAAACATTCCTTGAGCCTTTGGTCTATTCTGGGCACCATGCCAGATGATCAGGGATTGTAAGGTGAATGTTAGGGCTCTAGCCCTGGGGGGAACAGTTAAGGGTCGGTTTCACTGGGTCAGTCTCTTTGTAAACACCTGTGAACTCCACGCGTCCCTCTTTCTTTCAGGCAGAAGCAGAATCCCATGGTAGCCAGGTGGGTGAAGGGGAGCAAGGACGTCCCACCTGCCTTGAAGAAGACGCCTTCTGACCTGCTGAGGGAGTGACCAGGTAGTAAACAGTCTGAGGGCACAGGGTGTTGAGAGGGAGGGAAAAGGTGTTTATTCTTTGAGTGTGGTCCACCAGCCACTCTTTTCCACAATGAGATGCTAAAACCGAGACCCCCACCCCCGAGGCTCTAGGTCTTGTTCCCCCTTTAAGACCACCAATCTTGAGTGGCTATTGGTGTCCTTATCTCCAACACTAGATGTGCAGAAATGTAACAAAAGAGCTTTTAGCAGAAACAGGGAAAGGATCCAGCTCATCCCAAAGGCTGGCCCATTGCCCCTTTTAAAGAGAGGTTAAAACAGAAGCTTCATGGCATTGCCTTCATGCAAACAGGGCCAAGTTTTCCAGAATCTGGCAGCCAGCTGAACTTGGAGCTTCGCTCATGCCCGCAGGACACTTGTATGTCACTCACACTGGAAAACTTAAGCCTCTGTTTTTATTTCAGTGGATTGAATGGCATGCACTTTCCTCTAGCAGTTTCTCTCTCTCTTCTTTTTAAAGTGCATGTGTTTACTTGTACATAAGCTGCATTTGTTTTTGGCAGTGCTCGTGATCTGAGCTTGACTAGGTGTTTGGGCATGGTGGCATGGCGTTTGGTTCCCAATCCTTCGTGGTGGTCACTTTCCTCTTGGTTACTGAGAAATGCTGCTGAGGAGCTGATAAAGCCTATGCTCATCAGTTATATCCTATATTTTTCTTCTAAATTGGTCTCCAAATAAGTGGAATAGGCTTCAACAAGAAAAATAAATTCTCAGTAGCTTAGGGTCCTTCTTTGCAATGAAAATGAAAAAGTAACTTTCCTTTCCAAGAAGAAAAAAAATCTTTTCAAGGGCAATTCAGTAAATGACATGCTCTTAATATAACAGGAAAATTAAAAAGCACAACAACTCCCTGCATCCTCAACAAGTGTTAGCCTCTGATGGATGGTTTCAGTTTCCTTGAAAAGGTTTGCCCAGAAGATTGCTTCCAAAACTTCTATTGAGATAATGCTGCTCTAACAGCAAAGGTTATTGCATGAATCACAGACCACTGTATCCAGTTCCTTTTGAAAGAAGGGATTTTTCCTTTATCCTTAAAATACCAATGAGGTGGAAAAACAAAAAAACATGCGAACCAGGAAGAGTTACCCTGTAATCACTCACATTATCTTTTTCAAGGAATGTAGGGTGACTGATTTCAGTCACCAGGCAGGTAGTATAAGATGCTGTATGGCCTCACACCCAGCTTGTTCCTGTCTGTTGATGCAGACGGGAATGTTCCCTGGGACTTAGCATGGAAGTCCAGCTTCTAAGTGGGTCTGTTCTGCCACAGTGTCGGATGCCTATACCTACCTACTTGTTTTTAGCTTTTTTCAAGAGATTCCCATGTTGGTTCTAGTCAGTTCTAAAGGAGTAAAGCAGAAATTTTGTGACATACCTAAATGTCATACCTAATATGACATTTTGATAAGCAGCATATCAACCAACTACTAATAAAGCGTAATTATTCACTATGTGTTTGTTGTTCGTTGGTTGATAAGTTAGTCCTTTCCAATGTCATCAAGAACTAAGAGAGGTCATGGATTCTAAATTATTCATTGGATTGGGGGGAGAATGAATTCTGTTGCAGAGAACGCCACACAAAAGGGTAAGTTTTTAAAAGTTTTATTAATATTACTGAAGTTTTTAAGATATGTATTAATATTATCTATTGCTATATCAAAACTATCTTATAGATGGTACATTTTAGTTATATCAATACTGACCTTATGCTCCGTCAAATTATGTTTAAATTTTGTAGAATTGGAAATCTGTGCTAGTTGACTATACATAAATATTCATAATACTCAGTGGGGTAGATGCATGTGAATGTGATTTCGTGAGAAGATTGGCATCATTTTTTGAGCATAAGGCTTTGTTTTGGCACTTTCTAGCTATTATCTCATTTAACCATCACAAAAACCTGAGGAGTAAGTTGTATTCCCATTTTATAGATTAGGGAGCTGAGATCCAGAGAAGTTAAATAGTTTGCCCCAGGTCACACAGCAAATAAATTGGAGAGTTGGCCTTTAGCCCAGGTTTGCTTGTCTCCAGAGCCCATGCTCCTCACTCCACCCTACTTTCTTCTTCAGACTAGTAGACTAGTCTTGCCTTCCAAATTCTCCTTTCTGATATACGTCTATATGCATGCCTACGTACTTCACTTGGGTATCTTATTTCTGTTTTCTGGATGTTCTACTACATGTGACAGTAATGGAATGTCTTTCTTTGCCATTTCCTTAGGTGATTTCAACAGCCTGACAATGGACGCCATTCACATCAGCATGTCCAGTGGCCCCGGGGTGAAGCACACTGCAGGAGCTGGACCCAAGACCAACAGACCGCGAGTCATGTCCAAGAGTGGGCACAGCAACGTGAGAATTGACAAAGTGGATGGCATATACTTGCTCTACCTTCAAGACTTGTGGACGACCGTCATTGACATGAAGTGGAGATACAAGCTTACCCTGTTTGCAGCCACATTTGTGATGACCTGGTTCCTTTTTGGAGTGATCTACTACGCCATTGCATTTATTCATGGGGATTTAGAACCAAGGGAGGATGTTTCGAATCACACTCCCTGCATCATGAAAGTGGACTCTCTCACTGGAGCATTTCTCTTTTCCCTGGAATCCCAGACAACCATTGGCTATGGAGTCCGTTCCATCACGGAGGAATGCCCTCATGCCATTTTCCTCTTGGTTGCTCAGTTGGTCATCACAACCTTGATTGAGATCTTCATCACGGGCACCTTTCTGGCCAAGATTGCCAGACCCAAAAAGCGGGCAGAGACCATCAAGTTCAGCCACTGCGCGGTCATCACCAAGCAGAACGGGAAGTTGTGCTTGGTGATTCAAGTGGCCAACATGAGGAAGAGCCTCCTGATTCAGTGCCAGCTCTCTGGTAAACTCCTCCAGACCCACGTCACTAAAGAGGGGGAGCAGATTCTGCTCAACCAAGCCACCGTCAAATTCCACGTGGACTCCTCTTCGGAGAGCCCCTTCCTCATTTTGCCCATGACATTCTACCACGTACTGGATGAGACGAGCCCCCTGAGAGATCTCACACCCCAAAACCTGAAGGAGAAGGAGTTTGAACTCGTGGTCCTCCTCAATGCCACCGTGGAATCCACCAGTGCAGTCTGCCAGAGCCGCACATCTTATATTCCAGAGGAGATCTACTGGGGCTTTGAGTTTGTGCCTGTGGTTTCTCTCTCAAAAAATGGAAAATATGTGGCTGATTTCAGTCAGTTTGAACAGATCCGAAAGAGCCCAGATTGCACCTTTTACTGTGCAGATTCTGAGAAGCAGAAACTTGAGGAGAAGTACAGGCAGGAGGATCAGAGGGAAAGGGAACTGAGAACTCTTTTATTACAACAGAGCAACGTCTGATGGCAATGGTCACCCCCGGTTTAACTCTGTGAGCTGTTTCCACATCTGAGCTCCCTTCAAATGCAAAGGTCACTGTGAAAATGAAAATGTGTGGATTCATTCTAAAAAACTATACAGACATACAAAATCCATTTTTTTTCCCTTTGATCTGGCGCCTAAGCAAACATTTCCACATTTGAGAAGGTTCCTCTTTAAAATGCTTTGTCTGAAGCAAACTCTTAAAATTCCTATTTTCTAAAATGGGGCTATATTTCCAAAACCGTGGTGTAGGACAATTGAAATAATGTTGTGCCGGGTGGACAGACATTTAGCAATGCTGGTGTTGAAAGGAAATGTATTTCTAGACAGGATAGCAGCTATAACTTAAGGTATTTATTCAAAACAAGTATCAAAGATGTTGTGGCCGAGAGTTGAAATGTGGTTCAGTATTCCTTTATGCCATTGCTTTACAACACCCTCTTTTCGAGCAGAGAAAATGTTATCTTTATTGGAAGCTATCTGGCAAGTCAAGGGGACTCTGTACTCACAAAAATAATAATCCCATTCTTACTTGTTTTCATCAGATTTAATTGTACAGAGTGAAATTGAACAAATCAGGAGTTAACAGTTGTGAAAACATACACGAATAGAGTTGACTCTTTTGTTCACAGTAATTTTTTTTTTGTTGGAATGTACTAGCCATTTTTTATTCAAAATGTAGCTCACAAACCAGCATCAGCACCATCTGGGAGCTTATTAGCAATATAGACTCTCAGGCCCCACCCAGACTTAGAGAAACCAGAGTCTGTAACTTCACAAGACCTCCAAGTCATTTCAGACAAATGAAAGTCTGAAAAATGTCCACTCAAGAAAGTGTTCAAGGGAACTTTCTGAAGCCACAGCACCCTCAGGGTCCCAAACCCACATGGCCTCCAGACCTGTCCTTCTTTCTTCGGCTTATTATTATGGGCCAATATTCTTGTCAGCCACTGCATTCCTTGTCTATTAAAATACTTTGTTTGCCAAGGAACTGCCACTGATACCCCAAGATTGAAAAGCGTTGCTTGAGGGTAATGGTTGTCTCACTCATGCTAAGCACATGCTTGTTGACTATCGTTAGCACAAAAGAAAAATGACGCCGCATTAAAATCAGAAATTTGCTCAGATGTTGAAGTCCACAAGGTTGGATGGGGCCATGAGGAACAAGAAGACTTGAGGATAATGAATTCATATACAGATGACTCCTTGAAGCATGGCCGAAATTTGATAATCTGATGATATGTAAAGAATGCCCTCAGTATTTAAATAAATCTCATGCAACCGAGTGGTATGGGGTAACAGTTTACTCTTGGCAGAACTTAGGGGCCAGGAGCCACATTTTGGGAGGCAAAGAATATACATGGGCGGGGATTGGCTGAATGTGCAAAAGGTGAATTCTCATTTCATTCAAACCAGGACAGACTTGTGTATTCACTCAAGAAGAATGGGACTGTAGGTGGGTAGGCATTGCATGGGCGTACACGTGAACCCACATACATGTACACACAGCCATTTCTATACAGGATTCTATACATTTCTATACAGGAACCCACATACACACACACAGGCAGGCACATCCTGGCTTTTCGAGCATAATTGTGGAAGTTGAAAGATGTTTGCAATTAAGACAGCAAGTTGTCAACAAATGCGCTCACATATGTTTTATTCTATAAAAATGGGGACACTGGGGCTCAGAGAAAAAGGGGAAATTAATCTGGATTCGGGTTAGCAGTGAAATGATGCTATGGATTACAGAAAATGTAGTCATATCTTTATGCTACCACATTTTCAAATGTCCTTCCATAGAAGAGAAGATGTAGCTGAAACCTCTGACCTGGAGCCAAATACCTAACACAGATGTAAGAATAACAGGGGTAAAGTTAGTTCTAGAAGTTTAAGGGGCAATTTCAATGCACAAGAGGCTTTTTCTTTTATTATTCAGGCATTTTTTTCTCTCTGTTGATAATTTAATGGCAGATTGTTTTAATTTCTTAAAGAAATTACATTAGTTTAGTTAGACACGAGCTCTTTTAGTTATTATATGTGGTTTTTTATTGTCTATTGTGCTATAATCAACAGGAAAATAATGCCATGGGCATGTTTACAGGTTTTCTGTTGCACTATTAAATTCTTTACACAGGATTTACATCAGTGCTAATTTGAATGTGATCAAGATTAGGAATCTTGCATGCTTACATTGTATTTGGTACACTGATGTAGTGTGAGATGGAGAAATCTTCTGTTTATTCATTTAGCATTTCTATTGCAGCCAAATCTGGAGGACTTGATCATTTGATCTTTTGCACTATACACAAAACAAATATGCCGTATCTTAAAAGCCAATACTTGTACAAGTCAATAAGCCATACTGTAATATAATATTCTGTAAATAGTTCTAAACTTGCATCTGGTTTGAAAGTTAGCATTTCCTTACTTATTATGACTTTGTACACAATACTCTGGTGTTAACATACTAACAAAAGAGGTTAGGTGGCAGGCTTATTTGATTAAATCTGGATAGTCTTTTGATGGAAACGGATTCACGCTCAACACCTAACTAAGAAATAATCAAACTAATGGAATGTTGCTGACCCAAAAAGGCTTTTGCATTTTGAAACATTTCCAACACATCAGGCCTTCTCAGTGAGACCATTCAAAAATGTCATGTTCCGTTTTAAAAACCACAAAGCAAATAGCAGTATATCAGTGTAATCGCAAGCTGTGTCTTATTTCAGTAAGAAAATATATTGTACGTGCATGGTACCTGGTAGTCAATGGTCCCAGACAGCATAGCCAAGATTCACTCATTGATCCTCCCTAGGAGCCAACTTTGGAGTCGGGGTGGAGTCGCACATTGGTTCCTTTCTCATGAGGGGGGATATTACAGCACCAGACGAGACTCCAGAAATGTGAAATAACTGGCTAAAAGTGAAAAAATGCCATGAACAAGTGGACCAGGTTTTGAGGTGACTTTAAATAACGATTCATTTTTCTTTGAATTGAATTTTCTATCTTAATTGATGGTGATTTTGATACAATTAAATGTAAATTAAAATCTATAAATAAGTGACACTTCTACTCCTGTATGATTCTTTCTCTCTTCCTTGGATCCTCAGCACTCATATCATCTGGAGAAAGAAGGAAAGATAGACAAAAAGCAAAGAAGGCCCTAAGCTTTCGCAGTGGTATCTCAGTAAAGGATCATCTTCACCTTCGGGCTTGGTTCTGTATTTTGTCACTGTAGTCAAAGGGTCAGACATTTGACCGTGTGGCATCGTGAAGACTGCTAGTCTCTCAATCTTGGCTTTTCATTCTTGCTAGACTTTTCTTTGCCTGCTAAACATTTGAAGCAAGTAATTTTGAATGCAGGTTGTTTTATCAAAGCTTGCTGGGATGGTATTTTTTAAATGAAATGTTAGTATTTCAAGTCCCGATTTCCATGTTCTGTGGTGTGCACTTGAATTCCAGCATTTGACTCTGGATAGGTCCAAGATGCACTTAGTTTTCTTCCTCTGGGAGGACACACTTGAATGTCTAAATTTTAAAATTTCACTCCTAATTGATTAACTACCTACATTTAACCCTCTATGAACTTCAGTTTATCTTTCATCAGAATGGACTGCTCACCCCTCCTTGGGTCTGTGGACAGCATTTTCTTAGCCTTTAAGAAACACTGATGGCCTAAGTCCAACTTTTTCCCCGAAGTTTTCTGCTAAATACTTAATGAAAAAGAAACAGGAGGCAGAAATAAGGCTTCAGCCAGTTCATCTCATCTTCATCTTCTGTCAGTTCTGCTGAGCTCAATTTCCTTTCTATTTAACACGTGCTTCACTGGCTCTTCTTCATCTTTGTTATATACTTTATTAAGTCAAATTATCCTGTGGGTTAAAAAGAGTTAACACAGATTAGTAATTTGGGGATATTTAGGTGGCCAAAATTTGGGGACAGGGATTTTTATTTTTCAGTTGGTATGTTGCTGGTGTATAAGAAATAGAAAACCAAGAGACAGCTGGTAATTGCAGTTGATAGTTAATTCCTAATTAAATTACAATAATTGATTGTGGAAGTCAAAGGACATAATTGACATAGGAGTTCAAAAGCCAAACATGTCATATGTGTAGGTAAATCCATATAACTCTGAATAGTAATGATAATAACAGAGTGAAGAATGCCAGGCATGCTGTGTCTACAGGATATGTCTCATATTTAATGATTTTTGTCCTTCATCCTGTATGGACTTTATTAAGATGTCATAAATATTCTGTATTCATTTTCCCCCCCAAAATTTACAAAATTGCACAGCCAATTAGAAAACTATTTCAAATTTAATGTCTCGTATTTTTATTTGCTAAATCTGACAGCCCTGCAGAGAGTACTCACTTAATCCCAAGCTATGCCCATCTCTAGAAGAGCAACAAACAAATGTCCCTTCATTTGGAAGCAGCAGGTCTCATACAACTGGCAGTAAAGAAAGGGAGTATTCCAGAAGGATATTTCCCTGGTTTGCCCCATTAGTAAAAGTAAATTTCAGGAAAACCCGGAGGGCCCCTGATACATTCTGTGCAGTGCAAAACGGCGTGTCCTTCGAAGCTGTCTATCAAGGAAAGGCCTAGAATGATGGGTTCAAAGTCCTCTGCCACATGGCATACAGGAATCCTGGTTCCCAATCCCCACGAGAGAATCAGGCCGATGGTTAGGGTGGATTCCCAATGAAAGCCAAAGATGGAGAAGTCAACCGAAGAGTCCATCACCAAGCTTTTGCTTAGCAGCTCCCACTTCATGATGGTGTACTTCACTTCACCGGGGGCTTATCTTCACTCAAGGCCAAACCATATCTAGTATCCAGGCATTCCCACCCCTTGAAGATACCCAATTTCACCCCTCAAAAATATTTAAGTAAAGGTAGAACCCACTCAAAATTAGACTAAAAGGAAGCTACCACAATTGATTATAGAGTACCTATTCCCTAAAATAATAACAACAATAACAATAATAATAATATAATAAATCAGAAGTCGTTGACTCTAAGCTTATCATTACTGTTATTGTTATTATTGCAAATGTCCTTAATATTATGGAAAAAATAAAAAGCTTCCAAGAAGGTGATTGGAGGGGAATTCAAAGGAATGATTTTTTTTCATTCACTGAAATTTAACTATATTCTTTCATCTGCAATCAAATCTTAAGATTAAGGATGTTGTATTAAATCAAATCATTACAGGAAGTATGACTATATCAGGGGCTTTTTACAAAAACAAACTTCCAGATCACCAGAGGAAGCTGTGTTTGTGTACTGACAGAGTATTAAATAGCAAGCAGGACAGGAAGGCAGGATAACAGCCAACTTGGATCTATTTTGGAAGAATCATTTCTGTAGGGTGTCATGGAATTGTAAGTTACAAAAAGTATGCTTTGGTAAACAGACATCTCCATTCCAAAAGGACCCACTCCAAAATACCATTTAATCAAATTCACAAGAATGTTATGGAGATCAAAATTCCAAATAACATGCAGATTTTACAAGCTAACAGTCCCACTACTTATAAACCCTGGCAGTATGTGCATAGCAAAATCTTGATTACGCCTCAGTCTCTTGCTACATATAGCACTATTCTGATTGCTATACTGTGCCACAAGATGAGTGTCCCTGCTTCTTTCTGACTTTTGAACAGGTTTTATGCTTGGATTTGCCTAAGCAGAATCATGACTTGCATTTCTCAATATTGAGTTACTATTGGTGGATGTTAGAAATCTCACACTAACAAATACGTATACTATGTCACCACCAAGCCCAATCAGACTATGACCAATCAGCTTGAAATATGTACTTTCGGGCGCCTGGGTGGCTCAGATGGTTAAGCGTCTGCCTTCGGCTCAGGTCATGATCTCAGGGTCCTGGGATCGAGTCCCGCATCGGGCTCCCTGCTCCTTGGGAGCCTGCTTCTCCCTCTGCCTCTCTCTCTGTCTCTCATGAATAAATAAATAAAATTAAAAAAAAAGAAATATGTACTTTCGTGTTCTACAAACCTGCACCTCTATTCGTCAAGGCATTTCTTGTTTGCATAGGTATCTCCTCCTTTTCCTATTTATATATGGAATCCATCTAGTCTGCGAAACAATAGCAAATACAATAAAGCTCATTTTACAGTCCTGAGTTTCTTTTTATTTCATTGGAATGGTAATGGTGTCACAGTGGCATTCTTGTAGAGAGGGATCAGAGCTCAGAAGCTGTTTCCAATGACAGCAACTACAATAATTTGGGGCTGAGTAGGTCCTAAAACCTTGTGAAGATGGGATTATCTGTCAGAGCCTGAAAGAATGTATTTTTCCTTCCATTTTAATCAAAGAAAAGGAAATGAGACCCTGTCTCATCTCTTTCTTTTTCCTTAACGCTCTAGCAATCATTTCATTTTCGTCACTGATTAAGGATAGAGTAACTATTCAACAACATCCTTTCGGCACCTCATCCCTTACCAAAGTCCCTCGTGTTCCATTGCTCTTTTACTTTGATGGATTTAAAGAAAGAAAACACATGGTGACGTAACCCTTAAAGGCATCAGTCTGGGTGTAACTATGGAACAACACAACTATTATTTATTTATTTATTTTTTAATCATTTTATTTTTTATTTTTTATTCTTATGTTAATCCCCATACATTACATCATTAGTTCTAGATGAAGTGTTCCATGATTCATTGTTTGTGCATAACACCCAGTGCTCCATGCAGAACGTGCCCTCCTCAATACCCACCACCAGGCTAACCCATCGTCCCACCGCCCTCCCCTCTAGAACCCTCAGTTTGTTTTTCAGAGTCCATCGTCTCTCATGGTTCGTCTACCCCTCCGATTTCCCCCGCTTCATTCTTCCCCTCCCGCTACCTTCTTCTTCTTTTTTTTTTTCTTAACATATATTGCATTATTTGTTTCAGAGGCACAGATCTGAGATTCAACAGTCTTGCACAATTCACAGTGCTCACCGTAGCACATACCCTCCCCAGTGTCTATCACCCAGTCACCCCATCCCTCCCACCCCACCCCCCACTCCAGCAACCCTCAGTTTGTTTCCTGCAATTAAGAATTCCTCATATCAGACAACACAACTATTTAAAAGCCACACAGCAGAGATAGGCACTGGGGACAGCTGTTGTCCTGGAAGCACCTTGCTGGAGAAACCATACACACACACAACAGAATAGCAGCCATAGCTCCAAACCTGCAACACGTGTCTCTTTGGAACCTTCTCTTTTGGAATCTTGGCTCATCCACTGCAATGTTCTCAGTGGTGGCAAGACTCTGTTCTTTGAGCGAGAACATGACAGTTGGAAATAAAGAAGGCTGGTGCATATAGTAAGAAGTCAAATTTGAGGATGCTGTCTGGGCAAGAAAACAGAAGGTTTTCCAGAAAGTGCACAGTAATTTGGAACACAATAATGAGGCTTGGGAGTAGGAAACATTTTATTAATTTCAATTTGCACTGAATTTCTCTGACCCATATTTTTTTCTACCCCATTATCTCAAGAATCTGCTTGCCCTTGGGGGGGTCACCTTGGCCAAGAATTGAGCTCTCCACGTCCAAGACATAAGATAGCTTTGCCTTCACCACACTATATCCCTGGGGCAGTGAATACAGGCATTTGTCACAGCAGCATGGGAAGCCTTGCTTCTGGGCTAGAAACAAGGCATCCTGGCAGCTGTCGTTTCTCTTCTCAGAAATCCTGGGTTTTGGTAACCTACCTTCAAAAATGTCAGACAAACAAGGGTAAAGATTTAATATTTCGTGCAAAAGTGCACGCAAAAGTCCTGGAAATTCTTACTCATTTGAGTTGTTTCGCCAAATTTTCTGTATCTTTACTTGAATTTAACATATCCCTTATAGTGCTTAGCCTGTAGTATATCTGAGTGTCCCAAATGTATTTTCACCCAAGGACCACTCTCTGTACTTCTTAGCCTTTCTGAGTCTGTCAGAAACTCTTGCTCTTGACAGTACACATTCCGATAAACTCCCTTTACATGTGATTTAAAGATCTACCACAAGTCTGCTACAAACAACAGACTCACAGTTTTACACCAACACAGAACATTGTGTGCTTTTCCTTACCTCTCCACCTGGTGCCTCTGGCTGACCTGCTACATGTGAAGCACGTTGTAGCATGTTCTATTGCCAGTACCTTTCTTCTGCTCATACAACACACACACACACACACACACACACACACATACTTCAAGACTTCTGGCCACATGTTGAATTTGCAGAGGACAAAACCATACTATGCTTGTAGGGTTCTGAACACTTCAACAGTGTCGAACATTTACTAGTCCATTATATACCTAGTGAAGGAAGTGGGATATGTCTGATCATCTCTACTTTACAAGAGAAGGACCCCACTGTTCACCGAGGTGCAGTGCCTCACCCAGTAGGAAGCCAGTTCAGCCATCTACAGCTTTCCTTCCTGCTCTTGTGCACATTCCCCTAAATTTACAACATGGAATGTCATTATGGAGTGGATTTCAAAGTGACATAGGTCAAAATTGGGCAGAATGGCTCACCCAGGGAAAGCATAAGGCTGGGAGTCTGGATGAACTCCATGAGGGCCTAGCATGCTGCCAGGGGCCTATTATTCAGGAGCTGAGCACATAGGATAAGAATCAGGAAGGCAGAAACGACATGCAGCAATCATCCTGGAAGGAAAGGACAGAAGGGTATGAATGCCACTCACCAAGATTGAAACAGAATTCACAACCCTGCTGCTCATCCAAGTAGGGACAAACAGCCAAAGAATAGATGTGGGGGTGGCCAGGATTAAGAAATCCTGAAAGAAGGTCATGGTGACCAAGAAAACGTACCTCATTTGGTTCAAAGTTCTTTATATTCATTGTCATAATGAATAATTACATCAGATCTCCTTCACATAGGTAAGCATTGTTAGGATCCCCATTTTACAGAAGATAAAACTGGGGCTCAGAGGAATTAAGTAACTTGTCCAAAGTTACATAGCTAGTAAGTGGTAGAGCCAGGAGTAAAACCTGTCTTCTTCCCCAGGCTCTATCCTATATCCCGGGTGGGCCCTTACACAAGGCATCCAAAGGAGCCTAGGGGATTTAGTGGTTGATGTTTTTGGAACAAAGCAGCATTTGCTTGGCCCTCAAGTGTTTTCGCCCAGTGAAAACAAAAGCATGGTTGAGTTGCTATGTCACCACAGACCTGGCCCATGAGTGCTGAATCAATCCTGAAGAACAGCAACACAAATAATCAGGGATTTTGCTCGAGAGTTGCCTACTGTGGATGGGGCGGTATGTTTCCAACTGGTTGTTTTGCTGAGTTGTAACAACCTGAGTTGTAAGGATTGATACTGGGATCTTCAGTGAAACTATAAGGTGGGTAATCACTTCAAGATTTGGCTGATTGAGGAGAGACAAAGACAGCTTTGTAGGTATAAGCAAACACTACAGAATCAGCAGAACTCTCTGAAATCTGATACTGAGTATATGGGGCCTGTCAGGGGCAAGTGAGTGGCCCCAGCACATGCCATCCCTGCAGTAATAATGATCAGGGCTGGAGTGGGAGTGATCAGGACCCAGACACCAAGAAAAGCTAGAAACACAAGATCACAAGGGAGTCCCTAGAAGCAGACTGTGGAGGGAAGTTCCAATGGACCAGTCCTGATACCAGGGAAGACAGGTCTGCAAATCTTCCCATTTCATGGGCAAATGGGAGGGAAGGGTGGTATGAATTCACAACAGAGGATGAGATCAAGGGAGTGACATTTTAGGAGCAGGACCCCAATCCCAGGGTCTTCAAATCAGGAATAGAACCTTGTCCCTAGGAGGGAGTCAGTGAAGAAGAAAAGCAAGGCAAATCTTATTTCTGGAACAACAACAAAAAAAAAACTGAGGTTGGAACTCCAGCACAAAGAGGCTGGCTGAGTTAAGAATGGAACTGGGTAAAATATTGTGGCTTCCTCCCTGGAAAGAAGGGTTCAAAGCGAGCAGGACCTGGGTCAAGGTAGACTTGGTGAGGACCCAATAGTCCATCACATCTTCACTTCCCCTGAGTAGGAGTCAGAGCTAGAAACCAGAGCTCATGCTTCAGAGCTCCCAAAGGCAAAGGTCGAGGCCAGGAGGCAAGCCGCACCCTTCCAGATATGGTGTGTCGTTTGCTGACAGAAAAAGTGGTTCCTTGCTTCACTTAATATTTGCTCAGCCAAGCCAGACACTTTAATAATCACCTGATTACAAAGCCACGTCCTTGGAGTGCTATGACCTCCACATTAGTATTGATTTGGCAACATTCCTTGCACTAAGGAGTTAAAAGCAGATTCCTGAAAGAGCCACGCTATTTGTATTCTTTTCCTAGGGCTACTGTAACAAATTGCCACAAACTTGTTGGCTTAGAACAACAGAAATTTGTTGTCTCTGTTCTGGAGGCAAGAGTCTGAAATCAGTTGTCAGGACCATGCTCCCTCTGTAACCTGTAGGACAGGTTCCTTCCTGACCTCTTCCAGCTTCTGGGAGCCCCAGACATTCCTTGGTTTGTGACTGCATCTCTCCAACCTCTGCCTTGCTCTTCATGTGGCCTCTCCCTGTGTCTTCATATGGTCTATTCTCTATGTGTGTCTTTCCCTTTTCTTTAAGGACACAAGTTATATTGAACTAGGGACCACTTAATGAGCTCATTTTGATTTGATGACCTTTGTAAAGACCTTATTTCCAAATAAGGTCACATTCTGAGGTACTAGGAGTTAGGACCTCCACATATCTTCTTATTATTATTATTATTTTTGGCAAAGGTATTTTATTTATTTGGAGGAAGTTCATGGAAATCATGCATTCTGGGATGTAAGCCTTGGGTTAATTTAGACTGTCATTTCCACATATCTTTTTGAAGGGACAATTCAACCTATAACCCTATTCTTTCCTAACAACTTAATCACCAGCTTGTCTACACTCAGCCCTCCTTTTATTCTCCTCTTTGGATAAGATAAAGGCCTCCCTCCGTTATACTGACTGTCCTGGATCTCCCAGTGCTACATGATGGACAGACAAAGCAAACCTCTACCAGAACATCTGGTAGATTTGATCATAGCTCTGTGCAAGCT